TTTATACTCCTCCACCACCTCCACTTCTTCCGTGATTTTAACAGGATTCAACTTGTTCCTGTTTCTTCTGAAATCTACAATCATCTCCTTGTCTTGTCGATATTCCGGATCAGATGATAGTTTCCACACCATGCCACAAAGCGCTTCACCAGCTCTCTTTACTCAGCTTCTTGTTCATCTTTGATGGACCCAATGATTGCAGATTCATCCAGTATTTCTGCAGATGGCAGGACTCTGTCTGGTTCTAGAAGTCAGAGGTCTGTAGAGTAGAAAGAAAAGGGGAGAGTACCGTCCCCTGTGGTGCTCCTGTGCTGCTGACTACTTGATCAGATAACTGAGCCTTCAGTCTAACAAATTGTGGTCTGTTTGTCAGGTATTCTTTGATCCAGGTAAATGTTGATGTTTTTCATTATTATTTGCATATAATAGCCAATAATTACACTATATATCATTGCAGTGCCACCAAACTGGTATGATACATAGATAACTTAATCTGGATCATACAACAACTCTTACTTTCAGAATATCTGCTAAACTTTATTTTTTAGATATTTTTTCATTGTTATTATAAGCAGGCCAGGTGTTCAATCTCTGCAACAGGAACCACAGCACTGAGCGTTGTGTTCACTGCACAAAGTATACCTGTCCAAATGCAGGAAGGACTCACCTTGGGTTTGTAAAAACTGCTAAATGGGAAAATTGAAGCTGAAATGTGGAATGACATGAAAAGACAAGACAAAACCCAATTATTCTCTACGTTTCTTTCACATAGGGAGCTTTGCAATATAAATGAGTCTTTTGGTGAATGGACAATATAAATAGGCTCTGCCTTGCCCTGTTGGAAAAGCTGGTTATGACCTGTTCTCAGCTCAGGAACTAGGACCCGTATGATATCTGGTTGTTCAATAGGTTTGCCTAAATTAAAGATTTAGTTCTGACTTATCAAGATATTCCTGCAGAAAGGTCTGATGTTGCAGGGGAAGGTAATGAAAAGTGTTTGGAGCATGCTCTGGTTCTGATGCCAGTTTGTTTCAGGATTTATCCAGCCTCCTGTAGAAGGACTGGTCACATCACCGGTTATTAGCATTACAACAAGGACAGTTAGCAAGGTAGAGTGAATACACAAACTTGAAGAGGGGAGGGGGGCTTGCAGGAAAACTGGAATTCGCTGGGACTTCTAGTGCTAGAACTGTCTCCTGGGTCAGACTAAAGGCTGATTTATACTTCGAAACTAGGTCGTCTGCGTAGGTGTCGCAGTGCACTAAAAGCCGTCCCCGCCCCCTCCGCAGACACTCCGCTGTACCTCTCCCAAATTGTAACTGAACCAGCAAGAACGCTGGAACCCTTTTTCCACTTGGGTCCCCGCTATTGTTCGCCGTCATATCCCTCCGTTGTCGGACCAAACTCGCCCCTCTTCCTAATCGCCTCAACGGATCTAGACCCACAGCGTGTAGCACAGACCACGCTTCAATAATGAGCACAAATCAAAAATGTCTGAGTCAAGCTCACTTTCTCAAGTTGCCTATTTACTTGACTTCTAGAGAAAGAAAAGGTGAAGATGGAGGAAGCAGCACCATCTACTTATTTGGCTGAGAACAAATTCATGGAAAAAGGATAGTCAATGGCAGAGGAGGGCAGGATATCTACGTCACCGTGAGCAAGACAGAAGGATGCTGAGCTTTATCTTGAATTGAACCTGCTGAAGAATGTTTCAGTTCATTGGTTCAGTCCAGACTTCCATCTGTATGATCATCCTTCTGCTGGAAGCCTGTGATCTTAATCTCTGACCACGCATCTCTGGTATTGTTCTGCTGGAGCTTGTTTTCCAGCCTCTTCCTCTATGCCTCCATGCTTCCTCTTGCCTTGACCTTAAGTTGCTTCTGTAAACTCCTCATTAATTCCCTGTCTCCCATCTTAAACGCTTGTTTTTTCTTGATGAGCAATGCTCCAGATCACCTGGGGTCCATAGTTTATTATTTGGGAAGCATTT